CATCCTCTAAGTTTGGGCAGAATGGGCACATTCCTGGTACCTTCAAGACCTAGGCAATGTGCCTTCTCTGTTGTGGCACTTGCCCTCTCGAATAGCATCCCCCCCGAGATCCATATGGCTCCCACCTTGATGATGTTCAGAAAGTTTTGAAAACTTGGTTATTCTCCCAGGCCTTGGGGTAGGGCGTGTGTTGAGTTCTTGTAGGATTTGTCACTATAGGTTATTTTGTCAAGTTATCTGTGACTTCTGCTTCTTTATTATTGTTCTTGCTTTTAAAGTTGTAAAGTGTTGTGGAGTTGGATGACCTTTAAACTGTAAAATTAAATTAAATATCATTCTTTAACCTGAAGGCTGTCAAAGCTAGTTCAATCGGTATGCTTTGAGATGCAATCAGACTGAAGCAAGGTGGACTGTTAGTATGTGTTGGTGACTACTGAACAGAGGATGACAACTATTCCTATTGTCCATACCAATAGAAAATGAAAATCCTATTTCCTATATGTAGCAACTTTCTCTATTAACTCACCCTTTTATAGGTAAAAAAGAGAAGCTTGAAGTTGAGGCTCCCTTTGCTGAGAAATAGCGGTGGGCCTTGCTGTCTTTGCCTCTTTGTGTGAGACAAAGCAAAATAAAAGAAATAAAAATGATTTGATATAACTGTTAGAATAGGTTGAATAAATAGAATAAAAGGTTGCTACAAAGAAATGTAAGCTTTAAACTTTGAGAAGAGAGGCATTTGTCCTGGCTAGGCTGATAGGTGATTGCAGTCCTTCTTTTCTAAATCAAGTTCTGAAATAGCAGACAGTACTCTTGGACTCAACAACCTTGTACCTGCTACTGGAATTTTTCTCTCCTTCCCCTTCCATACTGGACTAATAATTTAGATTTAAATGCAGAGGAGGGTTAAACTATCCTACTCAGTTGGGGCCTGATCTAGATTTCTCTGGTCCCCAACTCTATGCCATTGTTTTTAAGCAAAGAAAAAGAGATTGACTGTTCCAGTCCACATCTCATTTAATGTGTCCCTTTCACTCTTAACGCTGGCTGAAGTTTTTCAATGGGAAGGCTCGAGCAGCTGCCACTTTTTCAAAGATCTCTTTGCATAAATTAATGCTGAGCCCTGTCAATAAAAGAAATAACTAAGCTGCAAAAGGCTCACTTTGGATGTTCGCTGCTGCTGTTCTTGATTTATAGTCATTGGTCTAATTAAAATTGTATAACCCTTTTAATATTGGGTGAATTGATGTATTTCAATACTGTCCTGAAACTTTCATTGGATAGTAGTAGAACTGCTATAGAAAAGCAGCAGCAAAGATGCTTTTTATTCACGAGACAACATGAATTGCATTATCCATACTGTAGTGACTTTTTCCCAAGGGCATTTACATATTTGTGTGGGCCCCTATTTCTGAAGAAGTGGGTAAACTAATCTACCTTGTATTCTGATGTATAGGGCTAGAGTTAGGTTACAGCTGTATAATCAGCCATTCTTCTCTTTTCTGGAATAGATTCAGCCCTGCATGTTTCTTTTTCCCACCTGGCACTGTTTCCTCCCTTTGTCATTTTGGGAAATGTTTTTATTTTCATGTCCGGAAGCAGGTTTCATTTCTCATGTAATCTTGCTGGAGACACTCCTGCTAAGCAACCAGTACTCCCAGTGAGCCCATCTTATTAAGACCCTTCAGTTGACAGCTGTACCTGCTGCTCTGAGAAAAAATTTAATTTCAAATATGATTTTAAGTGTGGGGGGGTTACTTTGCTATGATAGGAAAGCTGAAACTGGACCCTTCTTACCTCAGACAGAGATATTCATAACACGTTAGTAAGTTCAAAACTGGTTGTTTCCTCTTCATTGGTATCTTCTTTTCTTCTCCTTTTCCCTCCCCTTTTTCATCCTCCACTTTCTAACTTTAATTGGCAATCTCTTCCTGGCAGAACTTGTATCTATTTTTTAAAGTAACATGTTTCTGAATGGTGCTGTAAAATAACAAACATTTACTGTGTTGCATGATTGACAGTGTGGTACAGACTTGGAGTTTGCCTTAGCCAGTTCAGTTTTCATTAAGGTCTGGTGCAGATGAATTAGATTACTGGATCCACCCTGATTCAAGTTAGGATGCTTAAATCCCTTTGGCTAGAATTGTTAATTACATGAGAATTCTTGAAAATGTAGGAGCACCAGAGATCTGTGGATGCCCTCGCATTGTGCCAATCCACTTGCAAGAAGGGAAGTGAGGTTGGGTGCCTTGACTGTTTAAGTTTCAAAGATTGTCATTTAATATACCACATGATTTTGAAAGGAGCAGATGGTAAAAGTCTAAGTGTTGGTTTAACAAAAATCAGGAAAGAAAAGATTTCTGTACTGTTTTAAACTGAGGTGAAAATGCGGAAAATCGTGGTGCAACTACTACTTAGCCAAGGAATATCACAAATGTGATGATTTCTTAGGCTCTTTTCTGAGCTGAAATAGTTTTGAGGTATTACTAGGAGAGGAAGTGAGAGGGTTCCTAAAGGAATGAAGGGGAAATATGGTTGGAACTTGCCCTCCTTTAGATGAAACCCAAATCTGTCAGCCTCTTCACCTGTATTTAAAGCTAAGAAGTGTCTCTGTGAGGAAGTACAGCTTTGATATTTTATTTTTTCCTTGAAATGGAGGCTTCATTGCTGATACATATCCAAAAGGATGCTTTGGTCAGGCACAAAATATCGTGAGGGGAGCTGAGGCTTGTGGGCTTTGCGGAGGACTCTTGCACCACAGACTCGTTTCCCACTAGAAACCAGAATAGCACCCACATTACTGGCTGCCCATAAGCTTTTAAAAACGGAATTGCTTTGGAGAGCCTCTGGAGGCTGTTAATTAATTGTTGCTTAATTTCATTTTTATAAGTGTTAATGTTATATTATGTATGCATCATTGTATTTTTATCATACTCTTGATTACCATTTGGCTCTGAGAGTCTGATGGGTGTAAATAAAACAAATCTTAGAGGAATACAGAATGGGGCAGTTTGTAGGGCACACTAAACGATTTGGCCATCTTAGTTGGAAGTGGGCCCCCTTATAACTTGGGACTTCCTTGTTAACAAACTGAAAACCACGGCTTCATTTCTAGGTCCTTCCATCAAATTCAGTGCCACAGGCAGCTTGGTAGCCACATTTATTGGTGTGCAGATTGTGAATGAGTGTGTATACTGCTAAGTCAACCTTATGGTTTATTGCAGGGAGTAGCAAGTTACTGCCTATAAGATGATTGAAGTTGGCAGGTTTGAAAATTCATTGAAATTGGCAGATTTGAAAATTTGAGTTTTTTTTTTAAAAAGAAAAACCTAGTTTTTTAGAATGGGAGATGATTAATGGCCAAAATATGCGCTTTATACATTGCAGAGGCTCGAGGTACCCTTTTTATCTTTTTGGCTTCCAATTTTGCCAATTCTCCTGTTTTGAAGTGCTTTAAAAGGTCAGAACGGGTGCTTTAACCTGACAGTTTAAGGCACCAATTTTGTCCTTTAAACCTCCTCATTCTAGAAATGGAGAGAAAATGGGCGAGACATTTCTCGATCTCTCTGGCAAGGTCATGTTGTTATTGACTGTGTTGTCTGTGGTCTTAAGTAGGTGTTAAAAGCAAAGTAGGATATTTGGGCCAAAAAAGGATGTCCATCCCTCTATTAGTGTGGCAGGCAAACAGTCAATTTCAGAGTATGGTGGGCTGAGTCTAATATATTCAGCTGAGTATACATTTCACTTCCAGCCTTTTCTTCCTACTTTTCATGCCAGAAACAAAACCTGAAATCTAGGCAGGGAAGAGAATATGGCAGAGAAAAAGTCCACTTTCTCTTAGCATTAGCAACTCCTTCCTTCCTTCCTTCCTTCCTTCCTTCCTTCCTTCCTTCCTTCCTTCCTTCC